ATTTTGATTTTGATGCTACGAATGAGTTTAGAACTATCACAAATTTGCAAATTGTTCCCTACCTATTGGTGGATTAAGTTTGCGTAAAAAGCTGCCAGCTCGGCTATCAGTTTAGATAATTTGACGTTTGAAGCCAACTTACGCAGAGTTGGTTTAAAATGGAAATTACATGTAATTTTAAAGAATGATGACCTAAGTTCTGAAAATATATTAAAGATTGGTAAACAAAGATCCGAGATATTGATTTTATTTATGGAAAGATTTCAACGATGTTGTTACTTTCTGAAGCAACCATGCCTAGAAGTTCACCATGATGTTCACCCAGGTCAAGAGATTCAGAAGTAGTCCCATGAGCTCATCGACTACATGTTTTGTATTCTTCTGGTTTATTTCTGTTTGTAGCACTCACTGCAAAAGTGCAGTTACTCATCCACTTGACTAAATTTATTAATTTATGTTGTGTTTGCAAATATTTTAGTGGTTGAAAAACATTACAAAAATTATTTAAAATAATGTTAATCACTAACAGAATTGTTTCCTAAAATTATCAATTTTTGACCATTAATGCTAAGTTAGAACTTAAGGGGTTACGCCACACTAGGATTTTCAAAAAATCGATTTTTTTTACATAAAAAGGTACTCTGAAGTGTCAAAAATAAGGGACAATTGGTTCCATGTCGAACAAATTAAAATTCCGAAAGTTATAAGCGAAATTACAAAACTTTGCATCACGCACCTGAATCTGTACCTCAAACTTCAACCGCGTTTTTTTCGATACAACATTTCTCTCCGCGGCCCACACGATAGCATCTGCAATTCTCTGATAAATTATCTAGATAAGGACATACGAACTTTTAAATTGATCAAAAAATGCAATTGTGGTAATCAATTTTAGAAACAAATTTCAGGTGAAAAAACTGATTTTTTGCAAAACAAGTCCCATTTGCGTAAAATTCAAATTTTTTTCATCTCCGTATGTACTTCTCTAGGTATTCTTATATAAAATAAGAAAACCACACGTTTTTGTTCTAGGTTCATATTTACGACGAAGAAAGTGTGGGCCGCGTAACACAACACGGGAAGCAGTGCCAGGAACTCGCAGTGCTGCCAACTGCCACACATGGTTTCCCCTTATGAAAAAATACTGTAAGCACCCCTAATTATGTGTAATATAAGCCCATATAAGTTAATTTAGTATGTGACTTTATTTAATAACAAAAAAAAAAAAAAAATTAATAAAGTTGGTGCATTTTTATGTATTCTAGGGTGGCGTAACCCCTTAACATAAAAACATCAAGCGATGATTTTCATTCATTTGATTTATTCTGCAGTTATTAACGATTCTATATGTACATTACTACACGACTTTTCTGCTGAAAGTTTCTCTAATAAGGGATAAAAAAATACACGACTTCTGGCTGTGTTGGAGCCAATTAGTTGCATATGTCACATAAAATTACAATAAATTACAATAACTTTTGGACATATTTAGTGCGCTGCCCAACGTCCGGTTCACGGGCCGCACGTTGGGCAGCGCTGTGATAAAACAACAAGAAACATGCAATTGAAAATTTAAAAGTAGCAATAATTAACAAAAAATTTGTTATACATTTTTAATTCATTGCTCTACAGTTGGCAGGTTTATTGAGAGCTTTGTATTTAATTATAGGGATGTTAAAATAGAACAGAATTCACATTATTTTTTATTTATTTACCATATATGATACTAAAGCCATACAGAGATAGGTGTGATTTAAATCTGTTCCACAGAACTGGTCAACTGGTTATCGAGAGTATTGTTGTAGCCTTATGCAGGGTTAGAGATGAACTAGCCTAAGGCTAAAAATCTTTTTAATAAAGTTTAAAAAAAAAAACCTTATGCAGGGCGATGCCTAAACTTTCCAGGACATGATAGTGTTTTTCATCCAATTAGCGAACATTTATGCTCGTACAATGGTCGGTATTCGAAATTGGCCCCTGGCTTCGTAATGCAAATCTGACCATCTGTTTTTTAGATTACATAGATGCGCGATATGATACATGGACTTGATACGGAGCCAAAATGTATTACTCCATAAAAAAAACTTCAAAACCTAGGCCCAAAGTTTCGTTGTCAAATTGCGCAGTATATTGCAATGCAAGAATGCAAGCATTAAATCAGCCATGCAATTGGTATAGGCTGAAAAAGGTCACACCCGTTATACCGAAATTAGCAGATCTGCCATGATAAACCTTATCCAAAGTATTCCTAAAATTGAATTTGTTCACTTCGTTCACTAAATGCAATATATGAAAAGCGTGCGTCCGCTTGATTTGTGTCGGTTGGATACATGCTTCCATGTATCAGGAACAACGCTATACAGCTTGTTAACGTTTAAAGTCAGATATGACAAGAGCGGCCAACGATAATACACATCTCCTAATAACATATAGTGTAAGGTTGAGCTGCTGCAGAAGAATTATTATTTTTTCTATTTATTTTCAATATGTTTGATGATTATGTGACAGTTGGTACAAAATCTTGCTGCATAAACTTAATTTTTGTAGATTAAGCTTGGATTACTGAAGAATTTTCATTGAAGAATATCAACTCATATTTAATGTTCTGATATATTTCATTTCTCCATTACATATATTTTCATTATATAAAAAAATACTGGGTTGGGAGGGAGCGTCAGGCTATCATTCAAACTGGAACTGGACGATGGTATAATTGACAGCCGGAGTCTAGGAGGGAATAAACATCATCATATTCTTTGTCCTAAGCAGGGGTTGAAACTGTTGACGTTTTTTACTACACTCGCTTCGTTGTCCTGTGCGACAGTCTGTTTGTTTTCGTGCTCTCATACTCTACCGTCGTCTCTCTTACACAACGCAAATGGTAGAACAACATTCGAGCAAAAAGAAAATTATCAAATAACTATCATATGACATGTGTGATTTCGTTCTAATTTCTCAATTTGGTGTAAATAAAACCTTTTCTGATCAGAAATGCTATTACCAGAACATCGTTGCTTGCTATTTTCAGAATTCACACAAGCACTAGCACACCATCAGTAGCTCTTATTATGGGAAAAACTAAAATACATACATTCGTGATGGTCTTCGGCGACAATGTCGTATGACAGAGCCTTTCATATGACATTTTAGTTTGGTACTGTAATTTGATAACTTGTTTTGCAAGGGTCGGAGCAAAGGCAGTCGATTATCACAGAAAATGTGTCGACTACGGTGACCGCTTACAAGACTGCCCTAAGGATTCGATCGTGGTGGTGTGAATTCTACACCAACAGTTACAGGGAGATTGACGCGCCCATACTGTGGGAAGCTTAATAAACATTGCGAATTGTGTAATTAGTTTTGTTGTTTTCCCGTGGGTTTCGCGTAAGTGACTATGTTTACGGGTCCGCCCCTCCATTTTAGCCCTTCATACAGCGTTATTGTGAATTCGGACCGGTAACTCAATTCGATCTTTCTATTAAGTGGAGACGCATACAAGACAAGATCTTCGAAGCGATTGTGGCTACCTTACATACATTACATGCATTAAGCTTGGATTACTGCAGAAGTTTTTGTCATAGTTTTCTATTCCGGCAATATACAGTTAATAACACAATTATTTTTAATTTTGTGTAATTTCGATGCAAATTATTTGAATTTAAACGTTACCCAAACTGTCAAACTTATATATCGAACCCATTTAATACGCGGGTAAATTTTTCAAGTTATTTTTGGGTGAGCTAAAAAAACTACTGTAGGCACCATATTTTCTATGATTTATTTCGGATTTTTTTTTGACACCAATTTCATCAAGTTTGGTTTTATTGAACCCTTTGTCTGTAGCTTGGTGTCCAGGGTAGTTTGCAGTCTTGATTATCCAACAAAACGATTAGTTAGTAGCCTCTTAGTTGAGACATATTTCAAATTTTATTTAATATGGTTTTTAATCTAATTTCAGTCATACTAAGCACAACCCGCGCTTTACCTCTCTATGAGTTTAAATAAAACATGGAACATTTCTGTCAAAGATGACTTATAAATTTAATCACCTTTCCATACGGTACGTTAGATTTGAAAAAAGATTTAAAAATTGTTGAGATATTGTTTAAAATCTAATACTGCTTCTTGATTCTTAATTCGTTGACGAGTTTCAATTCCATCCTAATGCATTGAAACACCATTAGATTTTCTTCGTCCTACGGATAAACGTAGAAAAAGGGGATTTGCTAGGAGCGCTTCTTTTGTTTTGAGAACAATGAGCGTAAATATTCATACAGTTAAAAAAAAAAGAGCTATAACAGTATTTATGTTATATAACGGCGCCAGTGGTGTAGTGGTAAGCGTGATTACCTCTCACCTCAGCAGGCCTGGGTTCAATCCCAGTCGGCGCCGCAGGGATGTTCTGAGGCATAACATCTCTGATCACGCCTTCCTTCGGATGGGAAGTAAAGCCGTTGGTCCCCGGTTCATGAGTTGATGGGTCGATAGGTAGGGTCCAGGTGTGGGAGCTGCCTTCCTGGCACGTCGGTAGCATTGGTGCTCAGCACGGAAAACAAGATCGACGGAAAAAACAAACCAAAGGAAAAAAAAAGTATTTATGTTATAGATAATGAAATAACGGAACAAATTTATTATTGATTTTTGCACGGTGAAATCATTGATATGATTGATGTTTTCTGATCGATAGAACGGAAATGGGCGATTACGTTGAAGTAGCGCTCTACCCTACTTGTTTTGAGGGATTTTCTAAATGAACTTAAACTTTATTTTAGAAGTTAAACATCGATAAAAAAGAATATAACACAGCGTAAAAAGAGAGTTGAGAGTAAGCAACATGAAATTTTATCGAAAGATGGCCAACACATGTGCCATTCCTTAATTATCATCATGCTATCAATGTTTATTGGACAGATTTCCTAAATTTTCTTATTCGAACAAATATTTAATTACATTTATTTGAAAAAACACTAACTAAATTAATATTTTTACTCTATTTTCAGCACAAGAAACCAACTAGAAATTTTGGATTAGCTCCTATTACTAAGGCACATATGAGGCTTGAACTTTTTTAAAATGCCATTTAAAAAAATTGAAAGAAGAGTTAGTGGACCGGGAGCCTATTGCAATAATTATCTGCAAAACAGGTAAATCAAATACATTTTAAGCTAGCTTTGATAATTTGTTGGTCTTTTTTTAGGGATGTTGTTTGGAAAATAAAAATCTTATCATCATTACATACCATACCAGCAAATAAACTATAGATAAATTAAAATGAAATGATGTTAGTATGTCACACTATAACTCGAAAATGGATTGACGAATTTACAAGTTTTTTTTTCCTCTTGGGCAACCACGGTTTTATACAACTAGGCAGTACGTCATTTGTCGGGTCAGCTAGTTAACATTATAGTTCACTCTTTTGTTTTTTTTTCTGAGACACGGTTTTCGGCCAACAAGCGTGCCTTTGTGTCAAAAAAGGCAGCTAATGAATTCTATAAACATTACGAGGGATGCTTCAAAGCTACAACAGAGATTTAACCTAACCAACTACCAACTACCAGCTACAACCAGTCTTCACGATACAACATGTGTGAAAAATGCAAAAATGTTTTACACTCACTTGTTCTCCGCTTGCTATGATAAAATATGTAGTACAAGCCCATTTGTACACAAGTTCTACAATGAACAAGTTTACACCCATGTACAAACTCAAGCGCTTGTACTTATATGGGAGACAGCTTGCATATAGGGTAAACTAAATAGTTTCATTACCTACTACGAGCGCTTCTTATATGCATTTAATCATTTAATTACCCACTGATTAGAATAGACGAGTGGTGAAGACATATGACTGATGATCACAAAATTCATGGTACGAGTCCCCAGTCTGCCGAGTTTTTTTTATAGTTTTATAATTTTGCTCCGTGCTCAAACCAGGGTTGCCAAGTGATGTTGACGTAGGACTACATCTGTGATTTCTATATGGGGATACACTTTGTGAAAACCGAAAATGGAACATGCAACAAAATTATGAAAGATTTTGAACTCAGCTGCCCCTGGACCAATTTCAATCATTTTATCACCAATCGATAAGAAATATTTCTTTCGCATCCATAGCAATGCTTGAATCTATTGAAAAGTGGTAAATGTCAAGCATTGTCCAATGTACAAATAAAAAGTGATAATTTTATCACTATTTTAATGAAATAAACGTTCTTCCCAAGCCCAGTCGTCATAATCGAGTACCACTTGGTTGCACATCATTCTGCTTGAACCTTAAAAGATATAAAAGAGCGCTGCTGTCAAGCGCCGCAAAATGTAATAAATTTTTTGGTGTGGTGAGCTTCCCCTTACCACCACTCACAAACGACAAAGCGACTGAGCTGCAGGCAATGAACAAAGCACATCGAAAAAATAACTTGATCGAAGGAACAAGCTGTCGATAGCGCGATCGCCATCAAAACATGTAACTGTTGCTGATTCAACGGAAAGCGAGCTATCTATGATTGTTTGTCCATGAAAGTGTCCAGTTTGAAAATTTTACAAAAAGGCAGTTTTTTGTTACTATCGATTAAAATCTTAGAAAGTTATGAAATATTTTCTAAAGCAAGAGTTTATAGTTATATGAACGAAACAATATTAAAAAAAATTCGGAGTGCTTAATTTTCCCGAAAAATTTTAATTGAAGTGTACGGATGTTCCCGGACATTGAAAATTTATAATGAATTTTTGTTTTGGTTTTGCTCATGTTTAAATACCTTTAATTTTTTACTGGTGAAAATTGCAGAGTGGTGTCTCTTACCGGCTTTCAGTTGTGCCCGGAAAATTTTGGTGCAACTTCCCTATTTTTTCCGAAATTCTCATACTTTGAAAATCAGTAACTGATGTCAACATTTTTTTTGTAAAATAGGGGAAATGCAGGTAAAGTCGGCCTAAGTGTCCCTAATTTGGGCCCATACATAAATTCAGAAATCGACTAAATTTTCAATAGCAACCAAAAATATCCATTAGTAACGTCCCAATAGCGCGTTCATCTAGATAAAATTGATAAATAGCAGATTTTTAGCGATGGGCCCAATCTTAGATCCATAGGCCAACATTAGAGACATTTCCTCTGATAAAGAAAACATTGCAGCAATCCATAACAAATATAATCTGAAAAATAGCTGTCTCAAAAATTTTCACGGTGGAGGAAAATCGCAAAGAAAATCATGAAAGACCATTCTTAGGGTAGTGGCAATTTTAGTGCTGATTTTTGTTCATACTTGAAAATTTATTATCTTTCATTGGTGAACATTTCAAAGATTTGAGACATCTACTGATATTTTTCATCGGAGATCATGAATAAAAATGTTCCATACAAAAATATTGAGAAAAAGTGACTCATAGACATAAATGCGAAAGTTGATTCATATTTTGTATGAAAAGTGCTCGCAATGAAACATTCCGTCTTCACAGCAGCATGTAGAAGTAGCTGAGCTGCGTACTTCTCCATCGAAATAGCAAAGCAGCTGACCTGCGATGATGTGCGGTAATCAAAAGTTAAGAATGAATCACAATATTTACAATAATATTCTTGCCAATTTCTGACTGCAACAGTCGAACGTACGAACGAATAGGGTCCCCATAGCGCATTTTAAGAAACGTCACAAGTTTTCATTGGTCTTTTAAATCAATAATCACGAAGAAACTGTAAAACTTACAAGATTACTACCAAAGGCACAAATCTAGGGAACTGAATGAAAAATCTTCTGTAGAACAAATAAATTAACAGTTATAAAAACTTTCTACTTAAAATTTTATTTTTTTGATGCATGATAATTAACTTTAATTGAGTTCCTCTCAAAAGAGTTTTGATAGATAAGGCTTTAATCTATCATTTGGTATGTTTCAATCAGAAAAACACATTAAGATTGAAACAATATAGCTAACCAAATTTGGCTATGAGAAAAAACATAGAATGTTGAATAACTCACTTAGCAGGCATTTCCAACCCTATGTTTCATGGGGATTTTTTCATAACTTTGGAAGTCCTATCGATCCTAAAAATATATAAAACCCGGAACCCGTATTGTGCTGTAAAGTAGTTGAGAGAGCGTTAACTTTTTCGCAACCATTATTCAATTTGTGAGTCGCACTGAATAACAGCAGTCAATAAACGTTTATGTTACTTCTTCAACTTTCAAATTGTAGCTGCAAAACAAAGCAAATAAAGAAAATATATAACTCATTTGATGGCTTTTATACATCCAACTACACTTGCCGAATAACATAGACATTAAAAGTGCTTTTTCAACAACTACACAACCTGTATTCAGCTAATAAACTGTGTTAGCGCTACTTTGGAAGCTATTTTACAGTCAACTAGGTTTATTTTTAGACCTGTGCAGTTTTCTAGCTTTTACTTCGCTCCTTTACAAAGCTGAACTAACTAGTTGAGAAAAGTGATTGTGCACTAATAGTCACCGATTATGTTGTAGAAAGTCATGTAGATGTGTTTACGTCAGTTCAAAGTGTTGACGTAGCGAAGTTGGTAGTGTCAAGCTTTGCCAATGCGGTCATCTCGAGTTCGAGTTCAAGTTTAGGTGCAGGTTAATAATTTGGTGGTGTGTGTGCTTATACCTAATTTCGAGTAATTTGATACGCAGCTAAATAAATTCAATAAATCACCCCATAAAAAATTAAACAATGTTTAACTCGGCTTCAAAATCAAGCTGCGTAGTGACTGTTGGATAATCGGAAAAGGTTGAATAAGAGCCTTTCAAGTTCACACTCAACTAAAGCATGTCAGAACCGTCCTAACAGCCATAAATAGCTGACTAAGTTCGTCAGATTTGCTTGTATAAAGGTTGAGTAAAGGTTACCTCATATCGTATAGCATTTGAAAACAAAGCGTATACATTGCGAAAATTGTTAGTTGGGTAAAGCTTCATATTAGATAGTATGAAACTTCTTATATGAAGTAACATAAAAACACATTGTATGTCACAGATATAATTTTCCTGAAGGAGGTGCTATTTGTGTACGGTTCTGCCCATGTGGCAAAATGCCGAGGTTGTGCTATTCATATCTATGTGACAGCACATTCGATTTTATGTATCTTTATCATGAAATTCACTCTCGGATACTATCTAAATGAAAGGATGTCAAAATAAATGAAAATGTGTGGAAATTTGCTGTTTTTAATGGTGAAAAAGGATTGTTTTTCAAATAGTAGTGATCAGGAAATATGTAGTGGAAAGAAATATTAATAACTATGCATAAAAAACTTTGTTTAGCCCAAAATTTCGATTCCTTTACCACTGAAACAGAGCCATCTGTTGCAATATAACACCTTGGATCATGTCCTTTTAATAACTAGAGTTAAATTTGATTTTAAATCAATAAAATGCCTGCACTACATTATCTTTTTGCAATGAGCATTAGTATTTTAGTAGAAAGCAGATAAAATTGACAAATGTCGATTATTCCCAACCCTGTTCGGCAAGAGCTGGATGTACATTAAAAGTGTACATATTATGGCTCTGAAGCTTTTGTAGGTGAAACTTATGGAAACATATTTGTCTTAAATGATACCAACATTGCTTTTCATTCTAGTATGATTCCATTAAAAGTTTGGCGTTAATTCATCATTGTTGTTAAACAATTTTTAAGTTTTAAAATCCACCACACTTGATGCTGTGTTTCTGGATGCTGTCTAGCTATTTATGTTTGAGTTCTAGACCCCTTTTCATCAAGATAAATTTTAAAATCAAATTTAATGACATTAGAATTGGATCGTACCAAAATGTTCCGAATTACAGTCAAATGTATTAATCTGAAAATGATACATTCGACACATGTATCAAAGCACGCTTGAACTCAGTTACAAAGTGTAGTAAATCCGTACATTGATTGGCTTCTGTATATGGTTAATTTATTGGAAATACTTATATGGGTGTGCTCTACCTATGTAGGTATTCTTTGTTTATATACGGGTATTTTATAATCATATTCGCTTCGATTTCCAATATTTATTTATTCTTCTGGGAAAAGCAAATCTGAGCGAAAACCTTTCTCACTCTCAATATTCTCCCTTCCATTAGCATCAATGCTCGCTCTAGCCTACTGAATCCAACCCATTCAAGTAAAATAATAATGAGTTCTCTCTTGCTGTTTGAAATCTCCTCGGAGAAATGCGATTACCGTTGGATATACGTTTCAAGTCTGTTTATTCTGTATGTATTTTCAGTCAGGAAAACTCGGAGTTTCTACAACTTTATCAAAATCAGCTGCACCAGTCTTCAGTGAACGTTGGATATAGTAACATAGTTTATGGTAGTAACAATAGTGCACAGCATGGTTCATCAAAATGTGGCTCCGCAACAACAACGTTAGCAGGTACGTGTGTCCTAATCGATGTACTGTTAACATCAATTATATATTCATCATTGTTCACCCAACGTTGGAGTTCATTTATTCATACGTTATTTACTCAATTAAGTTGGAGCAGTATGGCGTTTAAAAATATCTCAATTTTTGCACGATCCCGGTTAGACGGTTTTAGCTGGAACGACTACATATTTCACCTTGAAATGTCATAAATTTCAAAATTGCGAATCACGTGTAACGGTAACTAGTATTAGAGCCGCGAGAAGTCAAGCGAGCAAATCAACATTGATAGAAAGAATTAATTGCAATTAATCCATTGAAGTGGCTCAGCTGAATTATGAAGATTATGGGTTCAAGTGATGTGACGTAAAAATTCCCAAGATTCAAGACTGGAAGTCTTCTTTCCCACTTTGGATGGAGTGAATATTACACGTGCTTGAATAAATTATTCGGAATAAAACAAAACTCTACGCTTTGTTGTGGGGGTGGTGTTTTGGCTGACCCTAGAAGATCAATACCATTCATTATTAATTCTGGTTGGCTAAATTGGTGTTGTTTGCATAAGAAACATGCCGTTCATGGTGCGAACAGTGAAAAAGATTTGTGGCAGAGATTTCAAATCGGTCAGCGTAAAAATGCATTTTTGTGCAAAAGAATATTGTCATCAAGAGTTTCCGAAGCTGTTTATTTGGATACAAAACGTGCTGAAACCATCGCAGAAATCGTCGCCGTAGGTATTCCGATGGAGAAAATTTCTGTGACGGTTTCGGCACGTTTTTTTTTCTAATAAAACAGAAAATACAAACATTTGAAAAATATGATACCCAAGTAACCAATAAGCTTGCTAATTCACCTATTTCCAATATAAGTATAGTATAGGAGCCCTATATTAGCCGCATGCCAGTCTTATATTACAAAAAGCGAATTAAGGGGTTTATTGGTTACTTCACACATTCATGATCATTACAATTATGATCATATTTTGGGAGGAAATGCTTGAATTTAAATTTTTTGCTTTGTTAATTTTTATTTATTTTTTTTGCGTCATGAAATTTAATACAGTGCTTTCCAATTTTTGAAAACACGACCTCATCAGCCATTTATTTCCTCTAATTTGTGCTAGGGCTATCTGTAAAATTTTCAAAAAAAAAACAAGCATTTCTTATTCATAAGGAATGATCGAGTAAAACCATAAATAGAATAAAATATTTAATGAATTTGCTAGATACCAAGTTAGACAAAAATCATGTGTTGTCATAAAAGAGAAGGGTGTGTACCAGGTTTTGGTTTATTGTGACATCTAAATTCAGTTTGTTAGCATGACAGCTCCAGTTAGACAAACTTAAAAAAAGTTTGATGTAGGCTTCGGAATTGATAGATCTTGCGTGAACACTCTGACAATGGGAAATTGTTAGTGCTTAAATCTTTCTAACTTTGATGTGTTTTAATCCAAGTTATGGCAAAATTAAGGCATGTGGTTTTTATGATAACATAAATATTAAATTTGAAGCCAATGGATCCAGATGGTTTTGATATCAAAGTAAGCTGCAACTCTTGAGTTCCTGTTTACTTTAAATAAAAAATTACTTCACATGTGTTTAAATATGTTAATAATAGAGCTCTGATAAAAATTTCAAAAATTGTGAGCGATGATCTAGATGCAGCCACCAATGCAATACATCGGTGTATACGTGAACTACATTGAAATGTGTTAATTGTTTGTCTATTTATTGTCGTCAATTACAAGTCATGTGTTGTTTGCAAATGAATAAAATGAATACCAAACAAGTTCCATAAATGTGAATTAATTCTATTTTTTTTTTGTATTTGAAAATTGCGTGGTTGTCAACAAACTTCGTAGCATTACGTTCGATTGTTTAGGATAAACGACCACTATAAGTTTTATCCTGCTTCTTGGGTATTACAGTTGTACGTGGCATGAAGATGGGTAATTATGGTGTTTTGTATCATTTTTTCAGTTCGAGTCACCAGCTGTCTCGAGACATTCCTTGATTATAGTAAATTAAAGAGAATTTCATCTCTCCGGAATTATTTTTTTTGTTGCGTTTTTATTTTTTTTAAAATATTGGGAAAAATAATCAGAAATCCAAGAAAATCTGTTTTTCCTCAGATTCTTGAGATAGTTTATATGTAAATTTTTTTTTACCTCATCATGAAAAAAAAAATCGACCGTTAGTAAAACCAAAAGGTCGATGTTTTTAGTGGTATTTTAAGTACAACTTTGTGCCATCATGACTTACAAAAAATAATTTTGCTCGTAAATTTTCTCTAAAAGTTAGATTTTTTTTGATTTCTCTTCCAATATTTTTAGAAAAATCAAAAAATAATATTTTTTTTCGAAGTGGTGCACTTCCACTTAAAAACGCTTTGAAAACGTGTATCAATCCAATTAGTGAGCAAAAGTTTGTTTCATTGAAAAACTCGAACAGCTGGTACAATTTGGGTCTTTTGCGTCTGAGATCAAAGAAAGGAACAAATGGTACAGTACTATTTGTAGATCAAATAACGCCAATCATTAAAATAGGTACGTAATAAATATTCACAATCGATAAAGAAAATTCATTATGAAAAGGAACATTGATCAGCATCAAAACTACAACAAAGAGCTATGGAAAATTTTGAAATCTTGATCGATGAACCTGACGAAATAAAATAGCCGGTAAAGTAATTGTAGATTTGAAGGTTTTTACCCAATTACATTAGATAAACGTAGACATATTTGCTTTTCTTTTGCAAAACGTCTGGAGTAGATAATGTTAACGCAAGGTTTATTCCAGGTTGTTTTTTGTCATTGGTCAAATCTTGCTGGACATTATTAATGAATCATTGTTTACTGGGCCCGTGCCAATGGAATGGAAGAAATCCATAGTTGTTCCTTTACCAAATTTGCTGGATCGATTAAAACCGAAGAGTTTTGTACCATCAACATGTTACACACATTAAAACAATGTTTAGCACTTTTGTAAACAGCCTGCTGTTGGAGATTTTGAATAGTAATAGTCTGTAATGATCAGACCAGGTTGAATTTGGTATTAAGGCCCATGCATTAATTATGTCACGCTAAATCGAGCAAAAAATTACCCCCTCCCCCCTATCGTGACGTTTTTCCTATACCTAATGCATTGCTTGTCACAAAATCTTAGACCTCCCTCCCACCTTAGAGCGTGACATAATATATGCACCAACCCTTAGTGAAGTGGCAAAATTCTTGGAGTATAAAGATATGATAGTTTTTGTTTTTTTGGATCTTACACTTTTGAAACAATTTCTAGGCTCTTATTGTTAAAATCAATCGAACGCTTTAGAATTACGAGTAGTTCATATAAATGATTTGAAAGCTATTTGTCTGACAGAACTCAAAGGACTGTTTCCAATTATTCTATTTCTAGTCCCGTGGGAAACAGCCTTTCAAAGACCCAGGGAAGTGTATTAGGGTCCCTTTTATTGACTATGTATATTAATGATTTGCGACGTGTTATATGGTTTTGCGACATTAATCCTTCTGCAGATGATACTGTGTGCAGCTAAGGATTTAAAAGTTGTCGTCTCATACTTGAATGAAAATTTGCGTTCTCTAAGTAGATTGAAGTATAACCAGTTGACATTGAATACAAGTAAAAGTAAATGCATGGTAATTTAGCGGCATCGAGTATATAAGAACGTCTCAGTTGTGAGTTTTTTTTTATGAATTGAGTAATTTGTACAGGCTCAATCGAATAAACTTTACATAGCCAAGTTATCATTTTCGTTATACATACTTAATCCTAATCTTAAATCTAGAGTTACAGGGATTGAACCGAATACTCGCGGTCGTCTCGAGGTTAGAGGAGATTTACAATTTTATGGATGGGAGGAGGAGGAGAGGGAGGTGGAGATTTTACTATTTCTAAAACATGAACTTATTTCTATTCAACTTGTTATCAGCTGTATAATTTTACAATTATTACCAAAAAAAAAATTTAAAAAACCAAACACACAAAATACAAACTAAACACAAGTTAATCAAACTTACAATCTAAGGTTAATTTTCTTCAGGAATATATATATAAGTTTCATACACTCCAGATCGCGTCTAGCCAAAACATCCCGAACTGGAAAATTAGGTTGTCTACCTCGAGCCCGAAGGGAATCGTACAGCTCAGATCTGACTCCACGATGCTCAGCACAAGACCAAATGATGTGATCTGCGTCTTGGTAACCTTGTCCACATTCACAGAGATTGCTTTCCCCCAGCCCAAAACGGAACAAGTGAGAGTTTAACGAATAGTGATTGAACATGAGGCAAGACATCACACGACCCACATCCAACCCTTTGAACCAAGGACTCTTCGACACCTTGGGGATGATTGAATATAGCCATCGTCCCAAACTCCCTTCACTCCATTTATTCTGCCAGCTGGCGAGTGACTGTTGACGATAAATGAAGAAAAATTCATTGAAGGCGATTTGTCGATCGTAAATATCGCCTTGCATAGCGCCCACCTAAGCTAGTGAGTCCGACATCTCATTGCCCGGAATCGAGCAATGAGATGGGACCCATGCAAAGGTGATGACAAAAGATCTTAAAGATAAAGCACCTAGAAGACCTCGTATTTTCATGAGCAAATACGAGGAGTGCTTTACCGGCCTCATAGAGCGAATAGCCTCGACAGAACTGAGACTATCCGTAAAAATAAAGTAGTGATCTGGTGAAAGTGAGGCGATGGTTTCGAGTGTATAATGTATTGCCGCCAGCTCAGCAACATATACGGAATAAGGAGCTTGAAGCATCCGAGAGGCGCTATGAAATCCGTTATAAATACCAAAAGCATACACGATGAGGATTATGCTGTGAAGGGCTGACATCCAGTGTTATGTACACGTAGTACATAGTAATGAAACGAGTTTGAGGGTTGAGCTGAATGTGAATCAATTCGATTTTTTATATTTGAATAATGCGGGGTTGTGAATAAACTACGTAGCATTACGCCAGATTGTTGAGGAAAAAC